TCATCAGTGCAGCAAAAGGTTGAGGTCCTCACTGCAACAGAATGATGATGTCATCCCTGCAAAAAAAGGATGATATCATCAGTGCAGCAAAAGGTTGAGGTCATCATTGCAGCAGAATGATGAGGTCATCACTGCAGCAGAATGATGAGGTCATCACTGCAGCAGAAGAATGAGATGATTACAGCAGCAGAAGAGAGTATGTTTCTGGTTTGTGTCCTAACATGGGGGATTGATGCAAAAATGGCTCAGATCAACTGAACAGCAGGGAGAACAGAGTAACACTGTGAGCTTGTGGAGAACGCTACGTATTTTATCATCTCTATATTTCCACGCGCTAGCTTCAGGAGGGCAGTGCTGCACAAGCTCAGTAAAGAAATGGTTACTGAATGAAGAGAATGTTGGAAAGCCTGAACAAAACCTGATATGGAAGAAGATCTGATGAACTGGTGGAAGACATACCTTGTGGACACTCCATAAACACATGCAGCAGTTATGTTTTTTACATGTCTCTTGGAATGAATTGATTTAAATTAAATTATTCATATTGGAACTCACAGGAGCTGTTGTGCATTTTCTAGGAGGTACTATCAAGCCAATAATCAAAGAAAGGCTCCTGGAATGGTGGTGGGAACCACACCTCTGTGAAGTGGAAAACATCAAGTTAGAAATTTAAGGACGAACAATTCGAGCAGCTTCAGTTACTTAAAGAGTGAAGTGGGTGACACTGGGAAGAGATTCAGACTTTAAGAAAAAAGCAGCAACCCAATAAAACCAAACCATAGAATGTGCAGAGACATACATAGTAGTGCTAAATGTAGAGATTGATGAGTCTGAAACTAAACCTGACAACAGGTCTATTTACCTAAATTTTCCATTGACCAGGAAGTTTTGGCTAATGAACTCAAGACCTTTAATGGACAAAAGAGCATCTTGCCCGGTGGATATGGCCCTGGCTTCGTAACTTTAGAGATGTGTGACCTTGGACATATCACATTTTCCCCCAGAGCCATATCTTCGCAATGTGTTAGTCAGTTGTTTTAAATGATCTGTAAGATTGCTTCATCTCAGTTGTATAGCTCTGCCTTGGAAATAGCGGATTCTCAATACTACAAAGGCTATAATGAACCTCTTTATTGAGAGAAGTTGAGACAGAGCAAAAGATATCATTAAAAAGTGTGTAATTCTAGGCTGCAGAAGAGAACAGGCCATTTCTTGTTTTCTATTACAAGTGATTTATGAGCCATTAAGTCAGGCTGAGAAGATGTGCACTCAATTTTATTTTGCTCCTTAATCCAAAGAAGGCTGCAGGCTCCCGGCAGCTGCCACCAAAGCATTTTGCAGGTGCGCACAGACGATTCAACCTACTTTAAAATCCTGTCTTCTCAGTTCTCACAGTCAGTCTTAGTGAGTTCGTGAGAGCATCACGCAGAAGCAACAGCATGTCACCATCCAACCTTTAAAAAAATGTAAAATCAAATGTAAAAGTATATACTAACACTGAAACTTTCAACACACAGAGGGAAGTTAGAATTCCATGATTCTCATTTACATAATGCATCATGCTCACTGAATGTACAAAGTTCTTCCTACCTGACCTGTAATCTGTAGTTTTCAACTTAATTTATGTAATTATTGGATTTTTATTTGCGTTTAGAATTTGGTTTTATATTTGCATCTTTAACTTTACTTAAAAATTTATTTCACAGATATAAATGGCATTGCCTATTAATAAAAAGGCAATGCAATTAATTACATGACGCATTAAAGTTACACTGAGTACCGTCTGTTAAGAAGGGTGTTAGCTCCAATAAATAAAATTTCTCTACTTTAATTTTTCAAATAGCTTATTTTTAAAATCATTGTTTTTGACTCTCTCATTGGATCATTAAGTTCCCTTTTCTTCCTTTCTGGTCACTAAACTCACTCCCCAGTTTCCTGTTTTAATTAACTTGTCTTGTCAAGACTTACCTCTTCTGTGTCTCAATTTGATATTGATGTTTGTAAAGTAAATTTTGGAGAATGTTGATGTTGAGTACCAAATTCAAACAAGGTATTTAGACCAAATATGGATATTGGATTATAGTCTTAGTTTATATTCAAGCAGATCTTCTGGAGAGCATAGAAATAATGTGGTACTGGAGAAAAAGTTCTTCATATTAAGGTAATTGGCATGTCTTGGTATGAACCATTGTGCTTTATGGTTCCAAGTTAGTTTACCTTTTTAATTCTTATTTCTATCAGCACTATTGTATTAATGAGTAGTAATTCAAGTACTGTCCCTTTAAGGCATGTTAATATTTTTGAATACTGTGAGATTTTTATTAAAGATGTATTTATTTTTATTTTATGTGTATGAATACTCTGCCTGCATGTAGAACAGAAGAGGGTGAAACTGGAGGTACAGTTGGTTGTGAAGAGTACTAAGAGCTCTTAACCTTTGAGGCATCTTTACAGCCACCGTTTTGAGCATTGTTATCCCAGATAATGAGTTTTACTCAAACACACAACATAAGAAAATTCCTCAAGCATAGAGGTAGGACTGATGTTCATGTGAACCTGTAATAATATATGTCTCCAATTGAAGTGAGTTATTCTATTTTATGAATAAATTTTATAGGTTAGTCTTTCTAGGTACTCTCCTGGCTCTTTCCTAACAAAACCACATGCACATTTGTGATAGACATGGGCTTGAATTGCCCTGTGATAACACACCAACAACAGAAAACTGGGTAATTACAGCCACCAGAAACCCTCAAGTCCTGACGTAGTGGGTGTGACCAAAGCTCAGGGAAAATGAGCAGCCAATAAAAATTCTAGAAAAACATCCACAAATAAAATCAGATTAGGAAGACTTGATTAAAATTTACCTTCCAGATGGCAAATCCCATAGCAATCAGAGTTTTCCACATACCATGACCTAACTGAAGACAAACTGACCAGATGGTAGTGATGCTAGGAAACTTTCAGAAAAAACTTAAAGACAGATGGCTGGGAAAACTCAATGAGCTTCAAAAACACGAGAAATGGCTGAATATTCTAACAGAAATTCAGCAAAGTGGTGGAAGAAATATTTTAAAACTCACACAGAAATCTTTGAGCTGAAAATCGCATGATTGATCAAGTTTAAGAAAGAATAATGGGATCAAGCAGAAGATATTTAAACTATAGACATGATCTGTGAAAGCAGAGCCTTCATAAAGTATTTGAAAATACACACGTGTATGTGAAAGTCATGTGGGAAATTTGGATCAATGTTCAGGAGACTCCAGTACATAATACTAGAAAAATTTCAAACATGGAGAAGGACACAGATATTCAATGACAGGAAGGGGAAATGTCAACAGTCAGACTTAACTCAATCTACTTGGAGACATCTTCAAACCATGCTCTCAAAAGGGAACAGTAAAGAGTAGAATTTCACAGCTGCAGGGGAAAAACAACAAATAACACATAGATGTGCTCCAACTCACCTGAGGAATACAAAACATCTCACAAAAAAACTCTCTGTCTGGGAGAGGGATGTAAGATTTTCATTTGCTGAAGAAAAAAAAAACAATCTGCCACTCACAAATACTCTATTTAGCAAAGTTATCTCTGAGAAATAAAGAAGAGGTACAGATATTCTCAGACAAAGACAGAGAAATTATTTACACTAAAGTTGTTACAGAACAAAAGGTAAAGGGCTTCTTCAAATTGAAATATACAACAATGAGTGTGATGAAGTAGTGAGAAGGAATAAGACTCACTGGTAAAATATGCCAACTCCTCCAGAATATCCCATCATTAAAAGCATGCTGCATAGCCATGCATATCTTTAATGGGAGTATTAAAAACAACCAATTCTCCATAATAATTCTACATTTGTGTGTTATATAATAAGTAATACAGAAATATATAAAATGGGATGGCAAAAAGTTCAACCTGTTGGAAGGAATAAGGAGCAAGTGTGGAATTCTGTTTGCAAATGTCTTTCCTGTTTAAGTTTTGGTCAGGTGTTGTCATTGACATTAATCTGTCGTCACTTCAAATGATGGCATTAGAATTTCTGGATAGATGCAAGAGATACATAGGTGGTCCAACTTAGGGCCCAGTCCAGAGAGCGTCAAGAGACAAAATGTCAATAGTACCAAGGGTTAGTAATTCTGTCCTCTCTTCTCTGTTTTCTTCCCCTCTCTCCCTCCGTATGTGTGTGTGTGTGTGGGGGGGGG